AATCTTTACAAATAATAAATGCGCAAATTTTGTCAAGTCTAAAAGTCAAAAAAAATGTTGAAGAAATCGGAAATCAGTGATTACTTTTTTTTTAATGATCTTAAAATTTCATATAATTTTGCAAACCGCAATAATCAACTAATCGATTGAAAAAATTTTGCCGATTTGTAACACTAACTATATACTCACCCAGGGCACTTTATAGAACGCTATACGGTATGTTCTTCGCGTCTTGTAAAGCATGTTTTGGGTATCATGTTAACGAATATTTAAATTATGTATTTCTATTGGCTAAACCGAACCTAATTTGGACTAGTTTTAGTGAACCAGTTCATTAACCTTGATCCGGTTTACAATCTGCTTCCGAACCTGGTTTTTTGGACCAAACTAAACCAGGACGGACCATAAAATCTCTATGTTTGCCTTCACATGAGACATTAAATGAAACATTAAACAATTAATTGCCTAAAATTTAAAAAAAATGGTTAAGCGAATAATTTAACGATTTTTAATTTTTTTACTCGTTTAACCTAACCATATAATATAAATAAACGGTTATAGGCGGTTAAATGGATAATAGAAACTAATCCCCAGTATAAATTATGTTTTAACCTAATTTAAATTTTTTTGCCTTAATTATTATTATTGTGTTACGTGGATTTAAAATTTTCTGCCTTAATTATAATGATTGTGTTATGTGGATTTAAAAATTTTTTTTCCTTAATTTTTATGATTGTTATGTGGATTTAAAATTCTTCATAATTTACGCTATATACAGTAATGTATGTAACAAACTGTCCTACGTAATCAAACTTCAAGATATGTAACCTAAATATACCAAAACCTTATCACTAACGATAGCAGCGAAATTTTTTCAGGTTGGTAACACTAGGGCAGACGATCATAAGAGTACGTACGTACGTGGGTTTTAGAGAAACCTTAGTTTTATTTTAATCTACTTTTAATCGGCGACTAGAATTTGCATTTAAGTCCTATTTTCTTCAAATTTAAGTTAAATCCGAATATAAAACCGATCCAAAGCAAGCGTGATTTGGAATTTCAGAATGATAAGTATATAGTATGATAAAACCCATTGTTTTAGGATTTGTCATTGATTGCATCGGTATTAATAATAAACCCGAAGCCGAAGATCGCTAACTAAAATAATTTCAGATTTAATAAATTCGGGTTAAACCTTTATCTGTCATAATAAATTTACTGTATATTGAATTTGAATTTTCGTAATTGACTGGATTAAACAATAGCACACGTTTTTGACTGAATATCATTTTATGAGTCTCGTGATGTTAACTGGAAGTCGAAGATGTCTCGTGATGCTAACAGGAAGTTGAAGATGACAATTTAGACAATAATACAAGACTTGATAGATATTCACTGAAAATCATCAAATTCACAAAATATCTATTTTGGGCGACGTGGAATTCAGATTATCATATCAAACTTTCAATTCTAGTAACTCTTTACCATATCGATATCGATATTAATTAATTAAAATATATTTGGCTATAATCTTCACAAATCAGGTTATTTAAAACGTGTAAAAATAGAATTACATTATAAAAATATTTGAGTATGTGGTACATTTAGTGATACATTGAGTTTTAGTTTTTGATAATGAAGTGTTTCAAACTTTTGTGATATGAGAAGACGGGCATCTGAAAAATTGTGATATTACGTAATTTGATTTCCGTGCGATCAGTGATCTGGATACACAAAAATGCTTATCGAAAAGATGATCGTAATTATGTAAATATAGATAGGTTTAGGATAAGTCTGGTACAGTGAAGTACTAGCAAAGTTTTCCCTTGGCCGCGCTCATGTAATCTACTATACACTTTCTATTATTATATTAATCCGGAAAAAATTTATACAAATTGTGCAAATATTTATTATTATGAAACTGTACGTAATACATAGTAGTTTTTATTTTTTAACTTAATTTTTATTAATTAAAAGATAACTGAAATATAGAAGGGATTGATAGAATGATAGAATAATATAGTCGAAGATTAATATTTATATTAATAAATAATAATATTCAAATATCTTTCAATACATGTGAATACCTAAAGACCATTATTTATTAATATTTATTAATATGAATGCATGAAATTATTATTATTATTAATTTAGAGATGTTAACGACTCGACTCGACTCGACTGACTTTGAATCAACTCAGAAGTAAAAAGTAGACTTTTAGCCGATCACATTGTTATTTTTATGTTGACATATGGAGTGCTGCCAAAGAAAATGTCCTTTCGGACTTTCAACTGCATTTTAATCGGACACAATCCTTAATAAATTAAATAGAATGTGTCCGGTCAGAATGTAATTGAAAGTCCGAAGGGACATTTTCTCTTGGCAGGCTAAAATAAATTGATTAATGAATATATATAGTATTTTAACAATTAAATTCTCAAATATTTATAATTAAATCGTTAATGATTGTTATTAATTTAGTAATTAATTGTTAATGATTGTTATTAATTTAGTAATTAATTGTTAATTATTTAAAATTTGTAACTATCAATTAAAAATTGTACAAAATTGTATATACAAACTACACAAATATTTTGAAACATTGATTTACTTTGAATAATCATTAAAGTAATTAAAAGTAATTAGAAGTAATTGTGACTATGCCCTGTTAAATGATATTTTGTCTAGAGATTATGAAAACACACTGTAAATGCTATTCAAAAATGGCTATGAGTCCGTTGTATTATCACTCCATTATTATTTTATTATTATTAAAAAATCCCAAAAAAGAGTAAATAAAAAGAGTAAATAGGATGAAACTCTTTTTGCATGTGAAATCGAGATTAACTAATTTGTACTTTTTTATAGTATAATGCACGGATTTTGTCATTGTGCGTAACAAATTTGGAACCAAGGGCCTTACTATGCATACAATGTAGTTAATGTAGTTAATGTAGTTTCAATCTTTTCAATTTCCGGTCGTATCACCTTTCCTAATCTGATTCTGTCTGTCAATCTATTGATATCGGTTCGGACCGGGCTGAACTAGACTTTTTAGTGACTAGGTTAGTCTCGATGATCTTGTGATCTCAAAGATCAATTAAAGTATAGATATCGATATACAGTGATTATAATTAAACGGTAGCCAGTTCATATCACAGACAATGAACTTTACATACTATATGAGTTGCAGATATATTTTTAATGAATTGTCATCTAGCATGATGTCGGTTAAAAGCTAACTATATATTAAAAACACAATGCATAAACCACTATATAGGATTAATTTCGAATTAATTTCGAAATTGAATTATTCACTCTTAGCTAGCGAACTTTTAACATGGTTAGTCTTAAATCTTATTCGGACCAATAGATTTATTACCTTGTGACAAAAATAGTAGGAAGAACATCACAGTATTCCAAACAGTCCATACAAACAAATTCTGTGAAACACACATGGAATATTAACGTATGTGCTAAATACAGTAGGATTCACACTTTGAGGTTACATTTAATATAACTCTATGTCAGCATACATTTTCAGAATACATTATGTTTGATACTTATCAAAGGTGAAAATTTATAAGGTATTCAATATTGATATTTTTTGTAATGAGAAACAACGTGATGATAACGATCCTCGGCATACACACAGTTTTGAACAAATTTGTGATCAAAACAGAATAAAGGCAGGGTAGTGCTACAAACTTACGAACTATTTTAAATAATCGACACAACTAATTTAAAGATGGTTACCTTTATTCTAATTTTTTTTTCTTTTAGCTCTGCTTCTGTTCTGTATTCTGTTTTGTATATTAAATAATGAATTTCTACCCTTATCAATTTTTAAATAATTTATGAAAACTTTTGCAATTTTCTAACGTTTTAGAGAAAAGACATTATTATTCTTAACAAAGTTTCTACATATATATATCCATATCCATATATTCCATACGTATATATAAATCCGTTTTTATAAATCCGTTTATATAAAGAATAATTAATATGAATAGACACTTGAGTAATTCTAGCGAAATATCTTGTTTTTCAACAACTTCTCTCAATACAAAGAATGCAAAGGTAAATAAAAAAAATTCAAGTTATTACATATTATTACATAGTATACTATCGCAAATATTGCATAAAGTGGAAAATAAATTGTATTTAATAAACTCCAATAAACTCTGTTGTCTATTTTGTTTTATTTTTATTTTTTTTATTTTTAGAATAATTTACCAATAGCCTCACAATTCTTATCTTGTAATAATATTGCTGAAGTTTCGACTACAGACTACCAGGTTGAACATCAAGACGTTGACGCGAATTGGTATCGACGATTTTTTTATGGAAAAGGTAATCTTATTTTTCTTAATATGAACTCTCTTAGACTGAATGCTAATTCATTTCGTTTTTTTAGACCATCCCACGTTTATAGGAACTATTGACTCATATGGTCCTGTTATAGTTTCAATTATTCCTGATACGTATCACAATGTCGGTGATATATATTGGTATAGATACATTGTTCGCAAAAAAGAGGTACGTACGTATCTACTTCGTTAAAAAACACTTGTGCATGCATATGTATATTACAATATTAAAAATTTTGTTTTTTATAGGTTCCCGATCATCGTGGTATTTTAGCAGGCCAAGCTTACTTTGGTGAACCAATATGGGAGGATCTATTGAAAATGATTGACAGGAATTTTGTACCACACCGTTTAACAAAATTTATAACCACACCAGAATTAAGTCAAGAACTGTTAAATTTAGATGAATCAAGGGTATGTGCATAAATCGTGCATGAATAATTAGGTTTGACTAATTTAAGTACTAATTTAGTTACTTATTTATTTAGCTTCAAAAACAATATAAGATTGGTGTTCTTTATCAAGCTCCGTCACAAGCATCTGAAGAAGAATGGTTTTCAAACACAACTGCGTCACCAGAATATGAAAGATTCCTTAATTTGTTAGGCAATAAAATTGAACTGTTGGGATGGCAACGGTTCGGTGGTGGATTAGATACAAAAACTGGTGGCTCCGGTAAATATTCAATTTATGACTCTGGAACATGGAAAGATTTTGAGATAATGTATCACGTGAGCACCATGTTACCTTTCGAAGATAAAAATAAACATCAAATTACGAGGAAAAGGCATTTGGGAAATGGTAAGTTTTATAATTATAAAATAAATCTGAAAAAAAAAAACAGTTGAATAAGTAATAGTTTATCATTAATTAATATTAATTAATTTATTTACTATTATTATTATGATTATTATTATGATTATTATTGTTATTTTTTTATCGTTTAGATGTCGTATGCATAGTATTTCAAGACGTCCCGAAACCATTTTCTCCATTCGCAATACGTTCACAATTTTTACATGTGTACGTAGTAGTCCACCCGGTACGTTTGAACAATAGACAGGAAGCTTATAGGTATGAGTCTCATTTTAATATACAACATAATATAAAATATCAACAACATAATATAAATATATAATATAAATATATCGATAACATAATATAAATATAATATAAATATACCGGCAACATATTAATATTAATAATTATTCATATCGATATTAGAGTTGAAATAATGTGTAAAGAAGGTGTTCCTTCTTTCGGTCCCGCATTACCTGATCCACCAATCTTTTATGATCCAATATCATTAAAGCAATTTTTAGTTGCTACAGGTAACATATTCATCTTATCAATTTATTCGTTATTTTAATAGCATTTTTTCTTTATGTTATTTATGTTCTTTATGTTTATATTATTTCTTTTTGTTTGTATCATTGTATCATGTAGTTATAAATGGCCAAAACGCTGCATGGAAAACTTTAAAACTATCTGAACCATTCTACAGAGCACGAAATGGTATAGTGTGTGACATTGCCAAGAGATATACACCTGTAGTACTTGCTCCATTGACCCCTCCACAATCTCCAAAGAAAATTCCACGAGATGACTTAGACAGTACTTTGAAACGACTTTTTATTAAAGAATTGAAACTAAATGCTGGTTCACTACCCGATATAATGCAAGTAAGATCTCTACTTGATAAAGGTGCAAATCCAAATATTAGGGTACCACGGCCTAAACCTTCCCGGGAACAATTGAGGCAACAATCTATATCATCAACATCAACACATAATAGTCTTAATTCGGATTCAAATGAAAATGAGTCAATGTACAAACTTCCAAATATATTATTTGCTACAATAGCGTTAGCTGATGATCCTGTATTCGTTAAACTATTGATTAATTATGGTGCTGAAACCATGCCACGAGACACTCGTTTTCCAAATGCATTTGTATTTGCCGCAAGGTATAAAAGAGTCGAAACAATGAGATGTTTACTGGAGAATGTGCCTTCATTAAGTGATCCTGAATCCGTTGACGCCGCTATAGGTGAACGTGGTAACAGCAAAAATTCTGTCGGAACTAAATTATGGGAAGAAGTTAAAAAGTTAAAGAATTCATTTATCCATTAATAGAATTTAATTACGCTCATATATTCTAAAGACTTGTACTTTTATTAATATGATATATTATATGTATAGTGTTATAAATACAGAAAGTTATAAAATAACTTTGTTTTTTTTTAAAAAAAAAACATTATATAAAGCGCAGTTTGTGTCATTTGCCTTATTGTCTGGAGCGAAGCGACAGACTTATATTTCTATGAACTTTGATAACCAAAAATTCGTTTTGATGCATTTATATTAAAAAAATCAAAATAGTAGTTTTGGCATTTTCCGTCTGTCACACTTTGTTTTTATATAGTAAAGTCAAAATTTTTTTTGAATATTAATGGTGGTAAAGTCAAAATTTTACTAAATAAATCGATTATATCTATTAAATGAATTTTGTTTTTTTTTTGAATATTATTAAATGAAAATTATTCAGGAGATCAATATACATATATCTTAAAATTTTTATACAAATCTGATAACTTTTTACTAATATGTTTTTGCAATTTATATTTAAAAATTCAATTAAAATTTTTTTTTAAATTTTTACTTAGTAACAATAAAAAGTAAATATCAAATAATAAAAATTATCGTAATTATATAAAAATTTCAGAATTTGATCTCCTGAACAATTTTCACTTAATAGACATAATCGATTTACTTATTAAAATTTTGACTTTACTATATAGAATTTATTATAAATTAATTAAAAAAAGTTATTTTTTATTTGAATTTGTAAAAAAATAATTTATGTTTCCAGTTCCTAGTATGGGAATATGATCGTGTAACTTAATTTATGCATTCCCGATCTACAATTATTATTTTAGTTTATTTTATTTTTTTTTTACGCATTTTTACTT